GTGTGTATATATATATATATATATATATATATATATATATACATATATAGTGTAATATGCTAATTAGACCAGATGACCTTCCAGAGAAGCTGGGGCTGTGAGGGAAGCCCAGGTCCCAGGTGCCAAAGGGAAGCTGGTGCTGGCAGCTGGGGGAAGGAAGGCCTACTCTTACATGAATTTCGTGCATCGGGCCTCTAGTATATATATAATTGGTTCCAGAGAGGAAGGGAGAGGGACAGAGAGAGAGAGAGAGAGAGAAGCATCAATGATGAGAGAGAATCATTGATTGGCTGCCTCCTGCACACACCCTACTGGGGGTTGAGCCCGCAATCTGGGCATGTGCCCTGACCAGGATTCCAACCATGACCTCCTGGTTCATAGGTACACGTTCAGCCACTGGGCCATAATGGCTATGCAAGAGGGTGGTCTTTTGAGGCCAAAAACTAAACCACCATTCAGGGTCACACAGCTCTGAGAGGCCCTGCCAAGGCCTGACCCCACAGTCTTCATGTTCACCACGCTGTTCCAGACCCACACACGTGACGGGGACACAGCCTGTTCCCCCTGCTTTCCCGCTTGCTGTTTTGTCCCTTGCTCCTCCCTGTCCTTTCTTCCCCCAGGAATGACAGTGGCCTCAGCTGTTTCATCAGCCCTTCTTCCGATGCTGCTGCTCATGAAACCACAGAGTTAAGCTGTGCCTGGGGACACGGGGTCCCCAGTGAGCTTGGCCTGCTTCCCCTACGCTGCCCTAAGCCACACCCGTCACGTCCCACAATGCAAAGCCCTGTGCTAAACCCAGAAGGAGTGCTCGTCTGTGTTCGGAACTGAGGCTACTTTAGTGAGTCCAAAGCACAGCTGCCTTGAACTTCTCAGGCCTGCGGGAACTTTGCGTGAACACTAGTCTTAACAGAAGGGTGAGTCTGCAGCCCTTGGCTTTAGACCCAGGCAGACATGCAGGGGCCCCGAAACCCAGGGATCCCTCAGGCAGGTTCCTCCTGCTCTCCCATGGCCCCTCTCTTCCAGCCCCTCCACCGTCCTCCTTCCCATCACTCTAGTCCCAGTGGGCTGGCGTGATCAGCGCTCTCCACACAAGCTTATGTTTCCCTTTGAAGTGTTTGCTGCATTTGATACCAACCCCGCCTTGACTTTCTCTTCTAATTCAAATCCCCAAGCTCCGTAACTGTCTTCATTTGAAAAATAACTTGTTAGAGTGCCCATCAGCAAGCCACCTGCCCAGTGGGGAGTAAAGAAATATTTATTTTGATGAAATGTTTGTGCAAGTTGGATTATTTGACATGAAGAGGGTTGTTTTTGCCCTGCATCTGGGTGTCCTTTTTGTTATTCCAATACTATGTGCCTCCCAGGAAGTGAAACGGAGGAGATGCTGTGACAGTTGGCCTCAGATGAAGTTTCCCTTGAAAACCTAGTCTTCGTTTCTCATCCTTCAGCAGCTATTCATTGAGCACTTACTACATGCTAAGCATCGTTGTAGGTGTGGTGAACACAATAGTGAAGGGAAAGACAAAGTCACGTTTTCGCAGAGGTGGATGAGCCAATTAATGGGTACGTGTATGTATAAATAAATATAGAGAACAAAAAACTCAGAGGATAAATATTGACAAGGTAGAAATGCTATTGGTACAGGGGCTTGTCAGGAAAACCCTCTCAGAAGAGAAGGCATCTGTGTAGGGAGTGAGGGGAATCTGGAGAGAGCCATGGGGGCATCTGAGGGAGCAGGTTTTATGTAGAGAGTGAGCTTGTCCTGGGAAATCAAGGAAGCCAGTGCTGAGCGTGCAAGTAGAAACAGCAGATCTAGCCGGAAGGCTGGTGATGGTGGTGGTGGTGATGGTAATAGTGGTGATGGTGGGTGGTGGCAGTGGTGGTAGTGGTGGTAGAGGTGGTGATGATGGTGGTGTTGGTAGTGGAGGTGATGGTGGTGCTGGTGGTGGTGATGGTGATAGTGGTGGCAGTGGTGATGGTGGTGGAGGTGGTGATGATGGTGGTGGTGGTGATGATGGTGGTGGTGGCGGTGGTGGTGGTAGAGCTGATGATGGTGATGGTGGTGGAGGTGGTGATGATGGTGGTGGTGGTGATGATGGTGGTGGTGGTGGTGGTAGAGCTGATGATGGTGGGGTGATGGTGGTGGTGATGGCAATGATAGTGACAGTGGTGGTGGAGAGCACATGCCCATGTAAGGACTTTGGGTTTTGTGCTGTGAAAAGTCAGAAGGCAAAAGGGAGTTTTGAACTGAATGTCCAGTGATCTGATGTGTGTGTGTGTGTGTGTGTGTGTGTGTGTGTGTGTGCGTGTGCGCGTGTGTGTTTTAAAAGATCATGCCGGCTGCTTTATAGAGACTAGAATACTAGAATGTGGGTGGAAGTAGAGAGGAACATTAGAAGCCTATAAGAGATGATGGTGTTTCTTTCTTTGGTCAGTGGCTCTTCTGACCAAGCAGGCATCTGAGATGAAACACTGGGAGTGAGTCATCTTGGAGGCCTCCCTATCTCTCACTACTTCCTGCCTCCCTCTCACCACTTCCTGCCATCTCTGGCCACTTCTTACTGCTTCCTGCCTGTCTCTTGCTGCTTCCTCTCTATCTCTTACCACTGTTCAGAGAAGACCAGTCCTTTCCAGACCTAAGGGTTTTGGGCCTGGATTCAGGCCAACCTCTGCCCCTAACTGGCTGGGTGCTACAGCACATGCTCTGGGGCCTCTCTGAGTTGAGGTTTCTTCATCTGAAGAACGGGAGTACCACTAGTACCCTAATACCATTATCTCACAGGCCAGAATTGAATTCAGTTCCCATGCACAGTACTTGGCATGGAGCTGGACATCGGATGCTGAGTAAACATCAGTGATGAGCTGAAGAACTGCTGCATGGACACTGACAGCCACTGTCATCACTCTCAGTGGTATTTCAAAGTTCTTATCGTCTCACCTATTAAATGTCTCCCGATATTATAGGATGCAAGTGTCTTCATCGCAGTGCCATGGCTTTCAGCAGGTCTCAATCATGTTCATCTGGACTCAGGCTAATTTTCTAATGGTCTTCCCGTGTCCTTCTCAAACCCCTCAGGCCATTCTTGACTGTGTCCTTATCAGGGAAGGTTTCTAAAACATAAATCTGATCCTGTCACTGCCTCCTGACCAGTGGTTTCCTCTTGCCTTCAGGATAAAGTCCAGATACCTCCTTGCACTGGCCTTCCATGTTTGTCTCATTTTCTGCCGTGCCTACACACACACACACACACACACACACACACACACACACACACACGCTTACACACGCCCCAGCTAGCAGGCCTAGATGTGCCACCTCCTGAATGTAGAGCTTATCTCATCAAGTTATTGCACCCATTATCTGAATATCCTGCTAAATTGTGAGACTAGTAGGGACTGTGTATTAGTCATTTTTTTGCATACAATAAAGTGCATAAGGTACACTAATCTTAAGTGTACAGCTTGGTGAGCGTGTGTGTGTGTGTGTGTGTGTGTGTATCCCTGAAGCTTCCACCCAAATCCAGACAGAGAACATTTCAAACAGGCTAGAGGCCACCCAGGCCCTTCCCAGTCCATATTTTCATCTTCAAGCTCCCAGGAACTGCTAGAGGACCTTGTAGGCAGCAGGAATGCCCCAGATATGTGTGCAAGGTCCCCATCAGTTCACTGGAGGAAGAAATGGATAGGCCATTGCTGACACCTTGGCTGTCGCTGCCCTTCGCCATTCAGAGGTGTAATAGTGCCCGGTTTCAATTTAATCAAAGCACCAGCAGCCAGAATGAGGCTTTGTCAAGTGATGAATTTATTCAAAATGTTTCTACAGGTCCAGTTGGGGACAGTAATGATGATGCAATTGTTCTCTGTGTAATCTTTATCAAAGCCAGATCCCATATTTCATATGATCATCTCAACAACCATTTAAGATAAGAACAGTTTAATTGATTCATTTCCAAGGAAAGAACCTGAGACTCCGGGATCAATTCTGAGCTTCTCTGGGCACATGCACCACGCATGGGCCTCTGGTGCAAGTGAGAGGCGGGGCAAGACCCCGGGTCCTCATCCAGACCACGTTCCTTTCTCTCAGGAAAGCTTTCCCAGGCCTCTTGCCTTTGATGTGAGGCATCTCGGGTCCTGTTATGGGTTGAATTGCATTTCCCTCCAAATGATATTGAAACCCTAGCCCCCAGGACCTCAGAATGTGATTGTATGTAGAGGTAGGGTCATTGCCAGTAGCAGATGTAATTAGTTAAGGTGAGGTCTTCCTAGAGTAGGGTGAGTGCCTCATTGACTATGGCAGCTGCCCTTATGCGGAGAGAGGAGACAGACACACACAGGGAAAGGCCATGTGGAGACCGGAGCGGTGCCTCCATAAGCTAAGCAATGCTGAGGTCTGCTGGCACCACCCGTGGCTGGAAGAGGAAGGATCCTCTCCGACATGTTTCAACACCTTGATTGGGACTGTGGGCCGCCAGCACCATGAGGCCGTGCATTCTGTTGTTTTAGGTCATCTTGTTGTGGAACTCGTTGCGGCAGCCCGAGGACCCTAACACCGGCAACTACTTATCTTCTGGGTCAGAGTTAACTACACATGAGCTGTCCCACTGTGGCCACTGCTGACCTTTCCACCCGAAACACCTCCACGTGCATCCTATCTACGAGCGACCTCCTCCTCACCTTTGAGCACCGCTCAAATGCCGCCACCCAGGCACGCTCCCCTGATCCTCCAACAACAAGCAGAGGAGTAACAATGTGATTGGGGGATGCTGCTCGCCACGTGTGTTGTTTCTTGTTTGGTGTCATTCAAATGGACACGGAAGTCGTCTCTTTGACTTTGCCTCTCTTCTGCTAGGAGGGCTGACAGGAGGCAGACCAGGGAGGCAATGCCACAGGGAAGGCTTTCAGGTCAAAGGGTGGTCTTCAGGAGGCCAGGCGTTACATCTTAGGGACACCAAGGAGAACTGCATTATTGGAGGAGGCCATCAAGAGGACCAGACTGCAGGATGACCCTGGGGCCTGAAGGGGAAATTGGAGGCTCCTTCCCGCACCCCTCCATTCCTCCTTTCAGCACTAGGAGCCGCTTCAAGGATGATACTTTGAAAGAGTAGGTGTTGCTTAGGTCATCTGGACCCTATATGTGCCTGAACCCCATTAAGGCCTCTACATAAACTCACAAGATGCTGGTGGGTGGGGGTAGCCACCCAAGACAAGCATCCCCTTGCTTATTGGAACAGCCACCTACCAATCTCCAGTGGCCTTCGTATTTCACCCGGTAACTCCGGAGGAGGTTTCAAACCAGCGCCTGTTAAACCTGAACATGGTGTGGGGAGCTGCTATAGGGTTAAACCTCCCACTGACCTGTTGGCAAAGTCACAAACAAGTCCCAGCTTAGAGGGCACAGCCCTCTTAGCATAATTAGGCTTGACCTTATGACCTCCTTAGATCTCACCTGGGAAGCTAATGGGCTGAGGGAAGTGCAGCAAGAACAAAAACAAGTGAAACTCACAAGAACAGTGTAACTTTGGTAACCACTACCTTGTTTACCTCTGACTATAAAAGAAAGGCTCAGCTTCCCTGGGGATCTTTCTCTGTGGCCTCAGCCAGGCACAGGAAGATCCACGGAGACCAAAGAGAGCTAGAGAGTTCTGAACGCTGTCTCTGTGTAAAACATTCTTCACCGACTTCCCACACTTTTGGGAACCCCTGGACCGCTGGGGCGGGACCCTGGCAACTTAGCTTTTCCGGATGTCCACTGGGTCAGAGCAGAATGCCCCTTGCTTTGAATCAGTTTTCACATTGACTTGAAGCATCAGCTCAATGGCCATCGCCTCGGAAAGACTTCTCTGAGGGTGGGTATGAAGTGCGCTTTCTCCTCTAAATGTCCACAGCGCTCTGTGAGTGCGCATCTTGGAGCACGGGCCACTGTCCGTGGGCATCTGAAATCTGCTCCGTTCCATGTGGTTCCTGTGCCAGGCCGCAGGGCCAGCTTCTTGAACTGGAGAGATGCAATGTCTGATCACGGAGCTGACTGTCATGGGAAGTGTGTTTATACTAAGGTACAGCGGGGCCTTGACTTACGAGCGTCCCGACTAACCAGTTTTTTGAGGTACCAGCGGTCTCTCGGCTGATTTTTTGCATTGAGTTGATAGAGTAATTTGAGCTAACGAGCTCCTTAATGAGCTCCTTAATGAGCTCGGTCTCGGAACGAATTAAACTCGTAAGTCACGGCCCCACTGTATTTCCTAAAAATATTTGTGAAAAGAGTTTTCTCCTCTATTAAGCCGATTCCAGATAATTAACCAATTCGGTCTGTGGCAGGTGCATTTGACAGACAACCACAGAGGGTGGGACCAGTGTACTTACATGGAGACACCCCCCCCCCCCCCCCCCCCGTAAAGGGCTTGCACTTGGGGTTAAATGCTCTGTAGTTGCCATCTTGAAATTTTTGTTAATTTCTTTTTTATCACATAGGAAGGAAATTATTTGTTTATTTATTTTTATTTATTTATTTTTATTATAATGTTTATCTTTTATGTAAGGGGAATGATATAAAATATATTCTTTCATGTCTTGCTTTTTTTAAAATTTATTATTTTAAAAGTAATTTTATTCCTGTATTTACAGCTTCCAAACTATCTTACCTGCCACCATTTCCTGGGGAGGCGTTCTTGGCTGCCCACTCCCCCATCCATGGTGCCCTGGGCCCTGACCAGCCCTGTCCCCCCATTCTGCACTCACTGCTGCTTTTCAGTAGGGGGCTTCTCAATAGGGTCAAGTTGGAAGAGAAGGCCTGGCTCTGTTGGCCACCCTCTGTCTGCCCGCTGGGGCCTAGAATGCACGCAGGAAATGTGTCCCCGCATCTGGGTGCTATTTGAGGGTGGGGTCTCGCAGCCGCTGTCCCTCCCCTAGGGCAATCCTTCTCACGGCATAATCCACAAGCATGTTGAGCAGGGCGAGCCTCTCTGCACCTGCGATCCAGGTACAGTGCTTCCCAGCCCAGTGCCTGCAACCCTGGGGCTCTTCCATCACCAAGCACCGGGGCAGTGGTCTGCGGGAAGGGAGATAGACTGTCCCCTGAACCCTGGCCGGGGAAACAGCACCTTGGACCAGCAGAAGGTGGTAGATGTGGGTCACTGGTGCTGCTTCGAGTCACGTGCAGTCGCCAGTGACAGTTCTTATGCCCAAGGAAGCATGTCATTAAATGGCAAATAAAAACACCATGACAGGTGGAGAAAGGGGTAACTTTTATAGTTTAGTACCTTTAATGGTGTGTTTTTCTCTTTGAAAAAGAAGGCCCTCATTTTTATTTTGCGCTGGAGGGACCTTATGTAGCGGGCCCTGCTCCCAACCTCAGTACCAGCCACAGCCATTGCTATGGCAGTGACCACCGGAATATGCCACCAGATCTTCACAACCATCTGCGTGTGTACCATGATAATCTCCTTTCTGTGATGAGGATAACAAGGCACAGTACCAGGCCCGCGGCCCGGGGCGGGTCAGCGGCCAAGCTGTGCTCCCACGCAGGTGTGTCGGAACCAGAGCTGGAGTGCTAACAATGAAGGCGGAGGGAAGCCTCGTGAATGGCTGGCGTGCAGTTAAGAATTTGTGAATTGGATGCATGTGTGCGGGAGCTGGATGCAGGAGCAGAAATCACCCCGTCACCTGCCTTCCTGGGCTGCATTTAGGAAAGACTGTGAGCACCGCTCGCCTGCCAAGCCAGAGGACACAGGCCTGTGTGATAGAGCCAGGCTGGGCTGAGGTCCTGAGTGGGCAGCAGCACGTGACCACCTGCAGCTGCAGAGTGATGGCGAGCACGCAGCATCACTGGCTCAGCTGGCCCTTCCTTTACACAGGGCCTGGCCATCTTGTGCCCAAGTCGGGTAAAGCACCATTTTGTTGCTGCCTCACCATTTGCTTTGCCTGTTATTTGTGAGCCAGTGGAGGTGTGTACCCTCCCCCTTTCGTGTTTGGAGGGGCACCTGGGGCCTGGCAGTGCCCAGCAAGCCCACTCATTTCCCATGAGACCTCCCTTCCCCCACAAATGCCCCTCCTCAAGACCTCCCTTCCCCCACAAATGCCCCTCCTCAGGCCTTTGCCCTGCCTCTGGGCATTCTACCTTGGATTGTAAATTGGGGTGCAATCCAGCCCTGTGGGTCATTATTTTGCAAAGTGAGGAAGTAGTGACGCATGCCCTTTTTAAAGCCTTCATTTGAATATAATTATGACTTCAAGAACCTTACAGAGTATTCAGGAAGTGTGAACATACTGGCTTTTCACAGTAATGTAGGAGGGGCCAGATGTTTGGAATTATCCAAATTATCAGCAATTTTAGTCAGTTGTGGTTGTTTTTTTTTTGCACCATTCAGAGAGCAAAATTAGAATTGCCTATGTGTGTCGTTTACAGTGTATTTGATATAATTAAAAATTAGCCGGTGAGACCATAGAGATCTTTATAGTGGCAGCAAGGATCTGGAAGCATCATTCCCTCCAGGCAAATGAACTGGGCTTTTATGACAGTAAATAGGAAATCTGAATCCAGCTGCACATTTTTTTTTTTTTTTAAACTGCTAGCATTTCATGGTCTCCTCCGCTTAGCTGACAACCTTCTGGAACAGTCACCCCTGGCCATGTCTTATGTGCAGCCGGCGAGCAGATAACTAAAAATAATAGGCTGCTGAAATGATTATTTAAGCCTCTCAGAAATGCACCCTGATGACTGCGTGAGTGTGCCGTGGCTGCGCTCTCGCCGGTCCTGCCTCCCGCTCGCCTCCACTTCTCCGCGGCCGCTTTAAGACTGCAGAGCGCCCCGGCGGCCAGAGGCAGGGGAGGGGTCCCCGCTCGCCTCCGCTCGCCGCCCGCTCCTTGCCCGCCGCCCGCCCGCGCGCCTCCCAGGCAGGGAAGGTGAGCAGGGATCACTGTGCCTCGGGCCGCAGGAGAGGAAAGATGCGCCTGCCCGCCCGCCGGCTGCCTGGATGCGGAGGCTGAGGCCGGCGCACGGAGGCCGCTTGCTGCGCAGTCGGGGCGCCGGGCGCCCGGGATGAGCTCACGGCCGCGCGGGCGGCTCTGTGCACCTGCCGACCTGCCGGCGGCCCCCCGAGCTGAGGGCACCGGGGTGCAGCCCTGAGCTGCGGGCGCCCGGGTGCAGCCCGGCGGCCCGCTCTGGCCGCAGCGTGGGGCGCGGCGCCCGGGAGCAGGTGTGCAGGAGCGCGGCGCGCGGCGAGCGCAGCCCTCGCCCCGGAGCCCGGCCGCGCCGCGTGCCCAGGCGGCCCAGGCGGCTCGGCGGCGGCGGCAGCGGCGGCGGGCGGGCGGCGGCCCCCGGGCAGGTGGCGAGCGAGCGGAGCCGGGCGGAGCGCGGGGGGCGAGGCCGGCGCGTCGCTCGCGGGAGGCCGGGGAGCAGCAGGGGCATGTGGATACTGGCCCTCTCCTTGTTCCAGAGCTTCGCGAATGGTGAGCCTTGCGGGTGGCGATGATTCCCGAGTCTCCTGTGACGGGAGCGGGGGGCTGGATGCATGGGAAGTCTTGCCGGGGTTCCCCATCTTTGCTTGCTTACACGATCATGCTTTTATTTATTTATTTTTAATTTCCTTGGGAGGAGAGGAGGCAATGAGGAGGCCGGGAATATTGCTTTCTAATCATGTCGAGGCGCTTACCTAGCAAAGTGACAACTCCAGTTCTAGGTGGCCCCTCCTTCAGAACCAACCTGGTGCGGGGAGAGGAAGCGGGGAGAGGGGCACTTGGACACATTACAACCCCCAGGCGGACGTGGCAGTCCTGGTGCAGGCAGGTGGAGGGTCCATTAGGCGCATCTGCCTTCAGGTGCCAAGCTTGATGAGCATTTAAACCGTGCCCTTTAATTCGGTTCCAACTGGCCCCCGGCGGCGGCTGTAAGACAGATCTGCCCTCGCGCCCCGCCCCCACCTCCTTGGTACTACACTGTTCTCGCAGGCATTTATAGAAAAATATGCTCTCATAAGCATTACATCATCTGAGATGTGGACCGGCTTTTAAAAAACACCTGTGCGGTTGCACACATGAAACCGGGGAAGATGGTGAGGAGCCGTGCTTGCCTCATGCCCACCCGATAGTACATTTTGAACAGCCTTCTTCCTGGGCATTTGAACAGCCATGGCTCGGAGTCAGACCCAGTTAGTAAGTGTGACTGCACCTTCGGCTGCCTGTCACCGCGTAAATATGAACTTACATGTATGAATGGCTCCCTCTTATTTGGGAACGAGAGGAAATTGTCATCCTTTGGCATTGCCTGGGAGTCGCTACAGCGTCAGTTCCTAGTTCAGATTTGGAACCCAAATCTGCATAAAATGTATGACTTGCTGACAGTTAAAATTAAAACATTAAGCAGAATACCCTCCCCAGGAGGGCAGGGAGGCAGGGATGGGGAGGGGAGGAGGGGGGGAGGAAAGGAAGGAGGGAAAGAAGGAGAGGGAGGGAGGGGGAGAGAGGGAGAGGGAGAGGGAGAGAGGAAATCTTGCCCTTGTGAGAAAATACCAGAAGCCAAGGGGAGGCTAAGGTTTTCCTGGGGGATGCACAGGGCAGCTGGTGTGAGTGCATCGGCTACATTTTCTTGGCCTGTGTAGATAGCACTTAAAGAAACAACACACCCACAGGCCCGAGGCAATGCATAAACTCTGTAAAAAAAAAAAAAAAAGGTGACAGGAAAGGTAAGCTGCAGGAAAGCGCTCCTGAAATTCACATGCAGATGCTCCTTTGCTCTGTAATATAACCTAAAGCGAAGTGTTCACAACTTCCATCCGGAGGCTTCCCAGCAGGGAAGGGTTGCAACAAGTTCTGACATGACACCCATCTTTCCCAGAGGGCACTCCGCCTCCTCTGCAGCCTCGCGGGGATTTACCTTGGGGGGAGCTCCGCCTGGGCTGATGTGTGGCGGTGCATCAGGCCCTCTCGCTGCGCTGCTCATGCGAAGCGGAGGGCACGCAGGCAGGCTCACATACGTGTCCAGTGCCACAAAGCCATGACGGCCTGTTTCACCCACCGGGCGTTCGTCTTGGGACTCCGAGGAGAGGCCTGGGTTCCTGGATGAAAGGAAACCTCCACCGTATTGGGGAGTGTGGTTCAGGGTGACGAAAGAGCTGGTGCCGATTAGGGTCCTCAGTCCGTCAGCTTCTGTTCTACAGTTTCACAGTTACATGTGACAGAAATAGCATAGAAGGATTTCTGAGACAGCCTCTGATACTGATAAATATTTGAATCAGCTTTTATACTGAAATAATCATAAAGGAATCATACCTTGAGAAAATTGTATAAGACCTCAAATATTCTACTACATGGAAAATACATGCAAAGCATCTGTGTATGCAGAACACCATGTTCTGGGAGCATTATCTTCTTATACCCTTTTTCAGGACATTGATAGTCACCCTGATTAGTCCTGTAGTGAATACAGGTAGCTTTCAGAATACGGGGTCTAGACTGTACATGCAAATGAATGTTTTACGTTGCTGTGTAGCATGTTCTGATCCCACCTGCCAGGAGGCGATGGGCCTGACTTGACTCTCTTGCATAAAAATGGCCCTCTCTTTACATGACCAAGCATTGGGAAAAGAAAAAAGGCTGACTGGAGAGCACTGAGCTCTTTCTTTTTGAGGGGAAACCAGCTTTAAAGAGATTTTCAATGAATGATGCTCAGTGTTCAGTGTGTACTGTGCAAAGGACCATAACATGTATAGTCACATCAGCAATAACATGAGTCCGGTTTGAATGCTGCCCGTTCATATGTTAAAAATGTGAAATTAAAGATGCCTTCCTTTCTGAATGAGACTTGGAAAAAACACAGAGAAGTATATGTTTTCAACAACTGTCATGTTTCAGTCTTCCTTAATTTTGAAAAATTCCTGCATGTGCTGGATGCAAGATCCATGCATTCTAATACCCAAACTGATTACTGCTAGGCTACACACATCAAAAGGTCTGACATGATGAAAACATATCTGTGTGTCAGGGATTATGGAGCTTGACATGTGGGGTGCTAGCAAAAGAAGATGCATCTGCGTGTGAACAGTAGACAGCGGCATTTCCCCTACACATGGCGTGGGGTGTCGGTTCATTTCTGAAAGCGTGGCTGCTGGACAGGCTGCAGACAGGATTTGGGTAAAAATGGAAAGCCAGGGAGCAGTGCGTCGTGGGTTAAAGCCTTGAATGCATGACCTCACCTGTGCAGGTGCAGGCAGCACGCCTACAGCAGTCAGCTGCTCTGCAGTGTTCCGGCAGCTCTCATGGGAGACCTTCGGTGACTGGGTCCCTGTGTGTGCAGAGCCACGTCCACACATGTCCCTCCATGTTTCCTCGGGGCAGAGCCATGCTGCCTGTGCCTTACCACAGCTTCTCCTGGCTTTAACCCCAGCGAGCACATTCTAGATGAGAATGCTTGCTAAAAGCACAGGTGGGCCTCCGGATGAGCAGGGTCGTGACGAATAAGCAGGTTTATTGTACAGGATGTATTTTTGTCAGTATCCTCGCATCTCCGTTCCATGAACACGTGTGGCCCCGGTGTCGCCTTTTTCTGAGCCGTGGAATCGGGGACCCTGCTGTGTTGCTATTTTCAGGGAGCCTGTGGACATTGGGGAGGGTGCAGTGATGGGAGAGAGAGAGAGAGGGTGGTCATCAGAGAGAGTGTGGGGGAGGGGTGTGGGGGTCCAGACCCTTCCAGGCATCACCTGTGCATCTCAGCAAGGAATCGCATGCCACAAACTTGGGGTTGTATTTAAATTGAGAAGCAGACCTTTGTGAGTACAAATGCACTCCCAGGGCTTTCAGATGATTTCTCTTTAATTCATGTAAATATATGTAAGTCAGTGGTATCAGGCGAATAATTTCAGGACCCCCTCCTCTCCTCTGCCTCCCCCCCCACCCCCTGGTTTTATTAAGCAGATTCTAATTCTACCCCAGAATTTCAGGGTCCATTTCAAATTTCCAGGTCTCTCAAGCTGCATGCCCCTACAAAATGTCCTCTGTAGAGAAACAGAAATGCCAGGCAGACCTTTAATAAATGCCAGCCGCCCCCCCACCCCCACCCCTGGACGCTCTCCTGGAGGCCACTCTGGTGTGACCACAGTTCATACCAGAGCGGCATCAGTGACTCCCTGGATACAGCACGCTGATGTGGAAAATAATTATCGACGGGAAAATGCTCATCTAAATCCCTAATTCCTGGACCTCCACGCAGCTGTCCTAGGGTCTCATCGTTGATGTGTCCGGGGTGAGGCACGATCAGTATTTCCTGAAGAGACTTGGTGCAGTGTGCATGCAAACTGGATGGAAGGAGGGGCGTGGGGGGAGGGGGGGAGGGGGAGACAGAAAAGGTAATTTTATAAAGAGAGACCTCGGAACACTGCAGGAGACCGGAAATTCATGTTTGGAAAAGAACAGGATGGGTTTCTCAGTGGAGGCATTTACATACCCAGGGCCTCCACATTTCACTAAAGGACGCGAATCCTGCGGTGAGAGTATGAAGGTGCCTCATTCATAATTAACAGGCAGGGAAGAGAACACATTTAGCACTGGGCTGGGCAGCAGCATCCTCAGAGCCCCCCCCCCCCCCCATTTTCTTGTTTCCCTGTGTGTCTGGCCCACCGGGCAGAGCAGGCGGGGCCCTGGGCGGTCGCGTGCAGACCGCAGCGTCTGGGCATTTCCTTGGCTGCTGTGCTGAAGCGCCTGCTGGCGCTGGGTGCCGGGCTCCATGGGCGCTGGAGACAGGAAGGTGGTGCTACCTGCATGTCAATTGTGTCCCTGCCTCAGGACACTAGTGGGCGGCAGACCTCACGCGTCTGCTGCGGCAGCTTCAGCAGAGCCGGCTGCATCGCCTCCGAGGGGAGAGGCTGTGCCGCGGTCAGAGGCTGTCCTCCCCGGATTTGATTTCTCAAGTTCACGGTGCCCAGACTCCCGTGTCGGGGAATTCATTCCAGCAGGAGCGATGCAAAGGCTACGGCAGGGTCCAGCTCTCTTTGTTCCCAGTTTTACAAAGAAGGGCCGTGCTCAAAGCCGTATTTTGAAATCTGGAGAGCCCATAGGCAGAGGCGATGTCTGGGGGCTGGTGGGCCGCACCCCCTTTCAAAATGCAGGGGAGGCCTGGTGGCGGCCCGTGTGTCTCCTCTGGAGGTGGCAGCTCCAGGAGCAGCCCCGCGCCTGATTGGCTGACCTTCCAATGTCATTCCAGGAGGCACTGCTGGCTTCTGCTGATGGAGATGGGTGAGGCGCCTCCGCAGCCTGTCAATCTCCTGGCTGCCCGGGGGTCCTTTGGGGGGGGGGGGGAGCCAGGAGCCCCCTCGCGCCCCCCCCCCCCAGGGAGATTGGACAGCACCTTTTCTCCTGGACTGGGCATTAACTCTTTGTGTTCCAGAGAGCTGAGCACAGACATTTTCATCTTTTTGCTCCCTGCCCCTCCTCCCACTATATTTATATTCCTTTTTTTT